AACCAAAAATGATCCAGTAGGTGTTAATGTGGTGAATAAAGTGGGTTGGGAAACAGTAAAATGTTGTATTTTGTCAAGAAAGTATGTAAAGTCCTAAGTGAGCCAGTACATTGTTGAGAATTCAGCTCGTTTTTATGTGTTTTCCATAAAACGCCATTTCTTGCATATTTCAGAACACCCAAATAAGACATTGTTACCTGTTTGATACTGTGAATTTGTTCATGCTGAGCAGCTGGAGAGTGAATAATTTATTGTCTCCATTATTGATGCTCAGTAAAATGCCCTGAAATGATATTATCATCCCTCATAAGCTAGTTAGCAAGAAGAATGCAGTTTCATGAAAAATATAAATTTGGAACTTCAGAATTATAATAAAACAATATGAAAATGTCACAGATAATAGTTGAATGTCAGAGATGAATGGATAGCAATCCTTTTGTGTTTAGGATATCCTAGGTTCAAATTTTGGCCCAGAGGCCAGCTGTCTCGACTGATATTTTTCATGTTTTTTTCCTCAGTCCCTCCAGGCAAGTGGCAATATGATACTTTGAATTAGGCCATGGCCACTTCCAACCACATCCTATCAATTATTCAATGCAAAAGTGTCACAGCTTCTAACAGTATTGTAAAATTGTTAATTAATTAAAATAACAGCATCTGCCATTAGAAATTAAGTGCTTCAATGAAATGTAATGGCTGTCTGCTGATCATTATTAATGACTAGTAAGTTATGTTGTATGACATTCATACTGGTATGGCATGATTTGTCAGAAATTTAGATAGATGTGAGGTAAGTTTGTTTTTTGGTGTTTGCTAATAGAAGTTCCTGATTTCATGTTACTTTGTATGAGATGTAGAATAGTTTTACTGATATGAAAGTGTGTCTAAATCTAGTATGCAGGTAACTCTTAGTTAGCTACAAGATCTTTGGACTCTGTTCTTGTGGATGTCACAATGACATGACAGTTTTCAACATTTTTGCTACATAAACACTCATGTATGTAACTATGTTCTTATCTTCAAAGTATTAAAGTCTGAAATATCAGGTGACACATCATGCATTCCATCTGGCCTTCTTTCGTAATGTGGAGTTGAAAAGTTTGGATACTGATCTTTTGGTTTGTGGTACCATGTAATCTTGTAGATAGCGATTAGTGGCTCAAAGGAACGTACTGCCTCTATCTTAACAGTGTAAGTGGCACATTCATGCCCAGAAATAATGAAGGAATGTTCTGTTAAAGGACAGAACAAACATTTCCACTTCATTTGTCCTCTTCTTATCATTGGTCCTGACAGAGGTCATCCAGTTCCAATTGTCCAGGACAGGGCTTCTCCTCGCCCTTGTCCTGGTTCTGATCTGCTGGTCTCCTCCTTTCTGTTGACCCAGTCTCTCCACTGTTCTACACACCAATATCCTGGCTGTAGTTTCTTCTATCATGATGATGAAGGCAGCATGTCCCCCACCAAGTTGCTGATAACTACCTGCATGACTGCATAGTTTCACGACTCGGAACATAGTTTAATGACTGAATATGTCTTGTTTGTCTGGATACATGTATCAAAAAGTCCTTGTCATACTTTCTTTTGCCAAATAAAATCTTTTGCAGCATTATTTGCTCTTGTTCAGAGTCAGGCAGGCATGGCTACCATTAAATGCACTTTAATGTGTTATTAAATATTTGTTTAATCTAAAGTATTGTATAAATCAGTCTCCCATGAACAATCTTTAACATCTTATTTTTTATTTCTTTTAATATATAGTAAGATGACAGTTACAGAATGTTGATTTTCTCTGGTGTAATGTAATCCTCTGAAACACTGGTATCTTGTCTCTTCCATGTGGTTCAAAAAATAAGTTTTATGTAAACAGTTTCAGGATGCCTGTAGCAAAAATTGATAATTCATTATTTGTCTATGTGTATATGAATGTGAATGAAATTGGCAGAATTAAGTGTTTATTTTGTCGTTATTTTTCAACTTATGGCTTATAAGAGATTTATGTACACTTGTTTTAGAAACACCCTTGGTAATTTGGGGGAGGGGGAGAAATTTATCCTACCTGCTTGGATGGGACTTATAATTCTTTGTTCCTTCTAATTTTTACTCTACAAATTCCTTTAAAAGTAAATCAGTATAAAAATCCTATTTTTATGAGACATCAAAAAACTTTAGCTGCTAGCACAAATTAAGACAATTTTATTGTTTGTGAATATGAAGATACCTCTTAATTGCTTAGTGTATATTGTTGACAGATTTGTTTCTACCCAGACTAACTGAATATATGTCCATATTCACAGAATTCTACCTCAGAAATGAACCAGACAACTGAGGGGTTCCTTTCATCCATATTGAATGATGAAGATCTTCAGCTGATGGATATGGCTATGAATGAAGGTAAGTAAAATTGTAATTTCTGTAATCAATGATGCATTTAATTACAATGTTTGGTTTGTATCTAATAAGTCTCTTGAATAACTCACATTGTTGTGTGGTCTGTCTTCCACTTATTCTTTATCTTCCCAGAGTTTAATGTAAATAGAAAACTCTTATTTAGAACATCATACCATTCCTGTTAAAGAAGATATTTTAGGTTAGTTTATACTTGTATGTTACCTATAAACACACAACACTTTCTTACTGTTGTTATAGTCTGCTATGCAGAATTTCATTACCTGGCTTTAAAAGCTTTTGTTATCATGAAGGTGAAAATTGTTTAGTCATGATGTTGACATGCTAATATGAGAATTGATTCATGAACCTAGCATTACACTCTTTGAATTCATTACTACTTACAGTAAGCGTGTACATGATCAGGGAGTGATGGGCTGGTTGTGGAAGTGTTATGTAAATAAAAGGATAATACAGTTTTCTTTCATCAAATTAATAGTGAAAAGGTGTAAGAGCGTAGGTTATTCTTGAGTTGTGAAATGACTTTAAATAGAAACTTTTAGAATGTCATGGATTTTCAATGCTGTAGCTCAGAATTAACAGTACATGTTATGTATGTATAGTATTGTTTCAGAAATTTTTAAAATCTGCCTTGTAAATTGTGTTCATGAGTTTCATGATAATGATTGCAACTGTTTAAGCATTGATGCTTATTAAACATAACACCCTGTCTTTCTAAATTTCTACAGTTTTTAATTTATGTAATGTCATGCTCATAAAGACAGCATGGTGCTATATGTTATGCATACAAAGAGTATACAGTGCAAAAGACTTCAGACCGTATTGTTTTCCTAAGTGTAGCATCCATCTTGCATCAGCACGGATTATGCACATACATTGATGAGAGTATTATACTCACTAATATTGTAAACTGTGGTAAGAGCTCATTTAAGTGTTAAATACTGGGAGACAACTCAATACAATACAATATTGTTTTAAATGGAATGAACAAATGGTTAATTTTGGCTGGTGGTTTTGTTCAGTTGGGATGACTGGCAGTTTGTAATAATTGTATATGTGTTGACCTTGCATATATATTGAAGATAGAACTACTACTAGCTAGCTAACTCATCATGTATCATAATCATGATTCAACTAATTTTAGTTATCAATTTTTCTTCTTTTGTGCATGATTCTGCAGTCTTGGCAGAGATCAGTAAGTGTAATGATTAGCATTTTGGTCTCATTTTCTTGAATGACCTTCTTTTCATTTTTCTCTCACCCATCACCTCCCTGCTAGCATGTGTACACAGCATTGCATATGGTGTGAGGTTTTGTGATAAGATAAGGCTTTGTTGTTGAATGTTGTGTTAACTGTAAAGTATAGTCTGCTATAGATAATGAGAGTATTAACATTGGTCTGAAAACAAGAAAGTGTGGTTTTCCTCCTGTGGGAATGGGTATCTGTTGTGACGAACTGCAGAATGCAAGTATGTGGCCGGACTTCATGTGGTATTATGGATCAGATAAGCTCTTGATAAATGTGTTTCAGAAGATGACAGTTGTTCTGCAGGGCTGAATAAGGAAGATTTTTCCTGTTATAAATTGAACAGATTTGATTTCAAGTGTAAAATTGTGATATAAATGTGTTGTTTTTCACAAATGTGACTCATTACCAAGACTGAGATATTGAAATCAGCATTGTCATTGTGGTTCTGCAGGAAGTCATTGCCCTTGGATACAATTAACTAGTAAGAATATTGTGATGAATTGACCTCAATACAGCATCCTGCTTTCTTTCTGTAAATGAAGCTGTCCTTTCACTTATTTTTATCTGAAAACGTGTGTGGGAAGTTAAATGTTATGTTTATGTTTTGAAAGATATGGTGAATAATATGTGTTATTTCCAAATTGATATTCCATGTAATTCAGCATGTCAGAATATGTTTAGAAGTCTTAATCAAGATCAGCTCATATTGAAAGGACAAATGACAGTAGTGTTTCTATTCAAATTATAACAAAATATTTTAATGAAATTTGCAGTTTGAAATTTGAATAATATTCTGCTTAAATTTATGTCAGAACTTCTTTTGTGGTGACAGTAGGATACTACCCCATTCTCTGCATAAACAAAATCTTTAAAAAATTGATCAGATTATTATGGAAGCTGTTTCTTGTGAAGATGTGATGATGTTTGAAATCTGTATAAACTTAGAAAGTGGACCAAAGTGAATAATTCAAGTAGAGTTTTGAAATTTTACACTTCTCCTAAGATATCGTGCAACATATTTATTTTTAAAGGTAGGATTTACTACCTTTTCCCAGTTCACATATTCCATTACACAAATCACACTAATACAGCATAATTAGTGATTTTAAGCAAAATCTGCTAGTTCCTTTCTAACACCACCTCATTTTAAATTATTATGGATTTGCAGTTGGTCATTATTATGTAATTACAGTATTAATAGATTTCCTGCAGACCCATCTTAATGAATATGGAAATGTGGCAATATTTTTACAGCATTATCTTCAGACAGTAGCAAAATAATGTATATGTTCTGCATATTACATACCAGCAGGTAATATTTACTTACAGTGACGTAGTCTGTATGATATTGCTTGGGTTCTGTTTGCTATTAGTGTTTAACAGGAGCTCTTTTTTGTGCTGTAGAATTAATACTATGTTCATCAGCATGTTATTTGCTATTACAAGATCTGTACACTTGCTTTGTGTGTTTGTGATCAGTCATTTAACAATTCATCATTACCCATAGGTTTGTTATATATATATATATATATATATCTTCATGATACTTCTATTGTAATTTTTAATTATGTGTGATTAAACAGTGTGTTAATAGCAGTTTAAATTCGTCCTGTGCATAGTGGAGGTCTGAGATTCAGTTCCATCCTTTGGTTTTCCTAAGGTTTATTTCTCTTTCTCAGTACCTCCAAGCAGACTTTAGGATATTACCATCATCCTGCTCATTCAAAGCTGTTTTTTTTAAAAAAAATAATGACACGTTATATTGTTTCAGGCATGTACACCATGCGATTGCTGGACAGCAACAATTCGAACAATGCCAGCAGTGTGGGAAGCATAGGAACAGCTATACAGCCATCAGAGGAGCGCATGGATGCATCAAGTGATAGTGCAGTAAGTTCAATGGGCTCAGAACGTGTCCCCTCATTGTCAGATGGGGAATGGATGGAGACTGGCTCAGATTCAGGTCATACAACAGGAGACCATTATGCAATGGATTATCATGCAAGGTATAAGTCTGGACAGATGTGTAACAGAATAGGATACTAAATAAAATACAGTGAAACCTCGATGCATCGTTTTCGGCGGGGGTGGGAAATAAAAACCATGAATGCGGGAAAACGATAGATGCGGGAAAGCATTAAAAATTTTAAAAAAAAACAATGTTTCTCTTTCAAAGTTACTTCTTTTTACCAAAAAAGTCTTTAATGGACAACTGGTTTGTCGAAACTTTACGTTTTAGGCCAAACAGAGCCCTTTCCACGTTCAAAATGTTTTCTTCGTCACGTTCACTAATATTATGCGCATAAAAGAACGACTTCACTTTCGCCAATGCAGCGTGCGCTTCGGCAAAACTCGGCAAAGCTTCGGGCTCGCATTCGTCGTCTTCTTCTTCCTCACCACTCCAACCCCCTTTGCGGACAATAACAGGAAGAATGGAAATACTATTACTGCGGAACTCAACGAAACGTAGCTGTAGAAGACACGATATGAACCAGAAGAATGAAAAAGTTTCGCTCGCCTTTCCTTTGTACTTATAATAAAAGCATTTGTGAAGAAATTCACACTGCACATGCCATCTGGCATCGCTGGAACGAAATATGAGTGCACCCAAATTAAAATCGTAAAATTTCTGACAATGAGCATCGCCATTCACTCCAACTATCACCCCTGCACCGCTGACCCCTCATTCCAAAAGAATCTGTGCTGGTTGGGCGACATAACAGGTTACCGCTACTGTGTATTCCAAAAACATTGTGCGTCTTTCGGTATTAATTTATCTCAAACCCCAGCATTTTAAATTCTCAGAAACGATCATTGCGGGAAAATTGTGGGCCGGGACTAAGATTTTTGAACGATCGATGCGATAAAACGATAGTTCGAGGAACGATAGAAGCGGGAAAATGTAACATTATTTTATATGGGATGTATTCGGGACCGAACAAAACGGACGATGCATCCGGGAAAACGATAGTTCCGGGAACGATGGATAGAGGTTTCACTGTATACCTCATTTTCAGAACGGACTTTAAATGCCACTGTTGGTATGCTATTTCATGCAACTTAAATTTTGTTAACAACACATTTAAAGTACCCCACCCTGAAGTTGGAGGCAGTATGTTCCTTTTAAATGTTGTTGATGAATCACAAGACTACACAGAGTCACAACCGAGAATACCACAATCTGAACCCTCATTGCTGTAAAAACCTCAAATCTTGTATGTTTGAACTACACACTCAAAAAGTTTTGAATAAAAGAACTTACTGGTTACAAGATATTAAGAAGACAGGTACTGTGGAAGGGAGTTGTCAGTTCAGGAGAATAAATTAAAGAGAGAAGACAGGTGGCTTCCAGTTTAAAATATCTGTAGAACATCAGATATGAGGTGAACATTGCAGAATTTTGACCCTCACAGAAATTCCTAAAGTGTTTTGTGTTGCAGGCACTTGATTTGCTTAGATTTGTCTGAAAGTTAAAATAATTGTCATGCATTGAACTAAATATTTCAACATATTTCTTGTTTTCTTTCTTTCTTTCCATATTTTCATTCTTTCTGTGTATCAGTGTGGTTTGTTTCTCTTAACAGCAAGTACCGGCCATATGACTACAGTTACTCAAGTCGTCAACACACAAGTGCTGGAGTGGGCTCATCTGATGCCTCACATCGGATGCCGCCCATGGCTCAGAAGAAACATCACATGTTTGGCAAGCGTTGCTTCCAAGAACATAGCTCAGGTAGTGTGCAAGTCTTGAAATGTTTTGTTATTGAATTCAGTTTACACATTCTTAGAATTTCTCCATAACATGTATTGTTTCCTGTATAACAGTGCCACATTATATTTAAGCACATCGTCATTGATCACTAGCTAAACATTATTGAAAACAGAAATTCAGATTGTTGAAAGTAAGTGCCAAGTCAGTTCTATGCGTGACATCAAAGTCTTAGTCTCTGAGTGAAGTGGTTCACTTTGGGTAGTTGGTTGTGGTAAAGAAACAGGTTCTAACTTAAAATCACCTAAGTAAATTAGTTCATTAAGTCACCAGGGAAACATTTCAGTAGACAGACAAGGAGTCAGAAAAGAGAGACTTTTGCATAAATCACACTATAATGTTTGAAACTTAAAATTTTTTGGTTATGATTCCGAACTTTGTATTTAAGAAAGTAGAAGTGATTAAATGTAGCATGGCAGAACAGTCTTCCAGTATACTTATTTTGTATGTTTTGGCAACACAGTGTCTAACAATCTTGTTGCTCTGTAGTGTCACCAAGTTTTCTTATAACCTTATTTCCCTAATACGCAGAACAGGTTGTGGTTCTCATTAGTACCCTTAAGTTCAGTAAATAAGAAATCAGTCATTTAATATTACTCTTTTACAATGTAAAAGTGGGTTTATATAATGCCTTTTACGTGATATTTGTTTTCAGAACATATATCTTGTGTTATATGAAAATTTGTTATGAAAACAAGTCACACAAATTACAAATATTGTTGCTCCTTTCGTAAATGTTACTGTAAAATGTAACATATTTTACCAGCTTTAATGTGCTATGTTAAATATTTTACCTGAGGTTATTTTTACTTTTAACCAGGAGGTTCATCATTGGGTAGCCATGGAACCACACCTGGTCTTCCTCCAACTCCCATAAAGTATGAGTATGGAGAGCCTGGTGCAGGTGCTGTAGCTCCAGGAAATGCATTTGGAGGAGCTGTCGAAGGAGCAGTAGGCCCCAAACCACCTGAGATGAAGTACAGTTGTAGCTTGGAATTTTCTCGACACCACTCAGGTAAATGAGATTTCAGGTTCTCATGGCAATGAGTATGAAGGGGACTGCTTTCTGTGATGATGGAGGCAATAAGCACCTCTGAAATGTCAGTCAAATTATATGCAGATTACACTTTGCAGTAGAGAATAAATTCATCTTTGCCACTCGTGTTGCAGTATTAAAGCTTTTAGTGGATGCAAATCAGGTTACATTCTGGCCATACAGTAAGTTCATTATTTCAGGTGCAGGAATTTACATTTGGAATTATCTGTATGAAACTTTTAAAACCTAATTGCTGCAAATGTCTTTAAACTCTGGATTGGTTCTGATGCCAGATATCTTGCTGCGTCTTACTACATCTGCAGCTGGAATGTGGTATTTGTCCCACTTGAACACATGCCTGCAATCTTAACACAATTGTCTAAAGGGTTTAAAGTTCACTTACAGGATTAAAAAGAACGCTGGCCTTGTAATCGATTCCCGGCGGTGCCCGAATTTATAACTTGTGTTGGGCAAGGCCGTGGTCTAGGCAACACGGAGTTTTCCTACGGGGCTTCCCCGGTTTCTCCGTGGCATCCCAACAATTACTCCATACTCCATACACACAGAAGAAGGCAATGGCAAACCACTTCTGTATCACCTGCTTAAGAAAACATATATGAACAGGTCCCAGTCCGAGAAAAGGATGGAGGGATCCTGTTCATAATATGTCGCCAACCTCCTGTAAAGGAGACGGCATAATAAAGAAGATGATTACTTTTCCATACAAAGTCTTGAAGTGTGTAAGCCTTTCACAGGAGATAGAAACTTGGCTTGTACTTCAGAATATCCTGAATTGAAATGTATTATTTTGATTTCTTGAAAATAATATAGTAGAACACATATAAAAGTACCTTATGAATACAAATGTTGAAGGGATGGCTGAAGCAGGGACATGACAGAATTTCTGTTATTAGATTCAGATTCTTCATGCCTGCTTCGGGCTCACATTAAGCTTATTTTGCAGATTTCTGTAGCAGCAAGTTACAGAGATAGATAGGTATGATGTGTCAGAACTGGCTTGTTCCAGATATGAGACCTGTTCTTGAGCACATTCAGCACAACCACTCTTACCATCTGCCCCCTGAAAGTGCTGGTGCAATGCAGCGGCCTGTCACAAGAGACAAGCAGAAGGGTATGTAACACAGTTTCTGAGTAGCCCTTTATTATAATCAGGCTAAACTACATCAACATAATGACTGACGGCTGAGAAAGATTGATATTATAATATGCTTTATTTTTGTACAGCCGTTTTGTTCATAACATACAGTGTGCTCTTCCATGCTGCAGAACCAATCTGCCTATAACAGTGGAAGTGTTAACTACATATAAGATTTACTATGAAGCTCATATTTGATCTTATTTTACGTTTTCTACAGGCCGAAAATCAGAGGAGGAGCATTTGAATAGAGATGAAAAGCGTGCACGAGCAATGAATATACCAATGACTGTGAGTGATATAATCAACTTACCCATGGATGAATTTAATGAGCGATTATCCAAATATGATCTAAGTGAGGCACAACTGTCACTCATCAGAGACATCAGACGACGAGGCAAAAACAAGGTATATTACAATTTTTAAGTCATTAGATTTAACAGTTATTTTAAATAATTCATATTTGAAAATAAATATGTGATTGCTGGATTCTCTTCCTTTCTATAAACTGTAAAGTAACAAAGTAGTGTCTTTTGCCAAAGAAGTATGCAGTGTGAACAGAAAATTTTGCTTTCATTCTTCTTTCATATTTTATTAGGATAAACTTGGAGATGCAGGGTATAGAGTTTGATGACTGGTAGGATGTTAATCTGTATAGTAAGAAATAGAAAAATATAAAATCTGTCATCAATAGTTTGTCTGGATCCAGACCTGGCCAGGCACTGATTTTATTAGGTGTTTATGTGTCCCAGCTAGCAGAACTTCTCATTTAGCACTGTTCATCCTTTTTTCTTCTTCTTTTTACCAGGTGGCTGCACAGAACTGCCGCAAGCGTAAGCTGGACCAGATCTTGACTCTAGCTGACGAAGTGAAAGAGATGAGGGATCGAAAGAGCCGCCTGATTAGGGAGAGGGACTTCAGGTTGGCAGAGATACAGCGAGCCAAGGAGAAATTCAGCCAGCTTTACAGACATGTCTTCCAGGTATGTTCATGTTATAGACATGACAAAATCACATAAAAATCTTTGTAGCAGTTGTGAGAAGAATGCTGTAATGTATGTGCCTTGGTTCAAATAAATACTAAATTAACGTGCAGAACCTGAAAAATGTGGAACGTATCATGAAAATATTCTCTTTGTTGATGAAGGTAAAGTTTCTGTCATAAATCTTAAGCTTTGCTAAACAGTTATCTTAGTGACAGTGTGTTGACATGATTGCCTAGGTATTCCTTCCTTCAGTCTTCCCATCATTTCTTTCGGAAAATGTGTTTTCTCCAAACCAATCATATTTTCTCACATACATTTAAATGTTTAAAGGGGGAAAAACATCATCATCTGTAGCATTGAAGAGAAAATGTGTAATGTAGTGCTAATTATAACATAGTTGTTATTACTGGTAGTATTCATGTTGCATCTGAAAATATGAGAATTGTGTCACTGCTAAGGTGGATGTATTATTCTGCAGCACCTGAGAGATCCAGATGGAAACCAGTATTCTCCATATGAGTATAGCCTACAGCAGTCTGCAGATGGAAGTGTCCTCCTCGTGCCCCGCACCAACTCCTCAGCCATGCTGGAGCCTGAATTAACACGCCAAAAGCACAAAGAACATGATCCTCATCATAAAGAATGAACAACATTTGGATGAGCAATACTTACTCAACATTGTACTGACAGCTCAACTTTTTGCAGTTAAATTTTACTGTAAACAGTTGGTACTACATCAAATGAAAGCATGTTATGTACAAACTATTTTATCAGAAGAGTTTTAAACATGATGGTTTGAAACCTGGTAAATATACCCAATGAAAAGACTATAATAGCTCATTAGAGGAAGGACATTAAGTATGTTGCATTTTGGACAACTCCAAAATCCATTAAACCCTTTTTCATCTTTGTGAAGTTCTTTAATTTTAATATTTTATAAATACTGAGATCTCTTAAACTCCATTCAGCTCCTGAAAATTTTAGAAGGTACATGTTTTATACATTTTACATTTATGCATTGTATATTATCTTGGTGAAATGGAAATCACAACAAAAGACTGCAAAGATAATTAGCAGGAAAGGAGCATTAATTTAATAGATAAGAATTCATATAAAACTCTTCACTGATACACTTAACCTACAATTCATTAAACTTTAAAAACATGTATTGATTACTTTGACATATATCATGTCAAAATATACCATATTTACTCACATAATTGACACTTTTTCACTGTTTATATTAAACCAGTAATAAGGCAATTATACATTTTCCCCATTTGATATGGATGTGGTAATGAATGAAGTTTGGAATTACAGAATTTTAAAATATTTGCTTTTGGGGAGGGGGATGAAAGAACTTGTTTAAAATGTGCATTATAATAATATAATATTACCCATGTAACCCATACAGGGCAGACTTCCTTTTAGTAGAAATGCTCCATTGTTGCATATATAATCCACACAGTGAACAACATTTCTCCTTAGTACTTATTATTTTTTTAAAATGTGCTTTCCACTTTAAGCAATGCTAGTGCATTTGAGAAACATATAATATACATAGTTGCTGTCATAATGTTGATCTCACTGTAGTCTGATGATAGCGCAACACAGTAAGATGACTTCCAACCATGCCATAGTACATGCATTTAGTCACTGGCTTCTGTGTGGTGGACAAAATGGAACTGGGACAGGTTTTTCTCTGAGTTCTTTGGTTTCCGGGATCCACAGTGACTGCACGATCTGAGGCGTGGGCCTTGTGCCGCTTGGTCGCTGGGACCGTGGGTTCGAATCCCACTCAAACCATGGATGTTTATCTGCGTTTTTCTGTGTTGTGCTGTCGTGTGTACGGGTAGAGGCCTTGCAACGGGCCGATCCCTCATCCAAGGAGTCCTACCGAATGTCTATAGATCAAAGCCAACGAAAAGTTGGGACCCGCAGAGCTCAGGCACTTGAAGAACGGGTCATTTCCAGTATCCTTTGGTTTCCTCCCCATCAGCACCATTCCACTGATGCTTCATATTCATTCATGAATCATCTAGGTAATGGACAGTGAGCCTCTTAGGGACTGCAGATCTACAGAGTTAGTATCTATTGCTGTGTAAAAAGAAAGTTGACTTCCCAGGCAAGTGGTTCTAATACAAAGTAGTCGGTCAGTTTCTTGAGGTATTGAGAGATGAGGGGAAGAGAATCTACAGCATAAACATTAGAAAATTATGTCTGGGACTGCAATAACAATAGTACAAAGTTAGGCAAATGCATCTTTATTATGGAATGAGATGGGGGATGGGGAGGAGCAGAGGGGGATTTCAACATGGACATTGATGATCATCATGTCAAAGTAAAGAAAAGACCTGCATGGTTATGTCCTACTTGAAATTTGACATTTATGTGTGTAAATATGGTAATTTAGTTCTGCTATAAATAAAGTGCTACTGAGTATGTTCTGTATGAACTTAGTTTTTGAGTATGAAGCAAACAGTTTTCTTTACTTACATGGACATAATTACATTTGCTGTATCTTCTCATTGTGCTGTGATAACATACTCTGTTGCAGGGTTGGCTTTGTGAAACATTGATTAACAGGAAGCATTTCTTTGGTTGAAATTAAACATGAATGAAGATGAATATGTTACTACTCTCAGTGACAGTGTTTGTCACGTTATAAGTTGGTAGTACTAGTATTGAGTTGAAAACTAGTATGAGATTGTGATTTTCTCTTCAGTAAAAAATCGGGCATTAAAAATATGACATTTAACCATGCACACATGCAAAGTGTGTTTTCATATAGGCTGATATAATCATAATTACAACATGCAGAACCAGCAGTATGTCCAAAATAATTCTACGTTCTTGTCCTAGCATGTATATATACAGATTCATAAATCCTATATGAGCAGCATAGATTTTAAAGGAATGCTAACATGTTCCTTTTTATGAGGAACAAAAGATATGTGTAAGTGCATGTAATGCAGTTAAATACAGCCACTTCTGAAATAACTACTGGATATATAGTTTACAGAAAGTTGGCTGCATCCCAGAATGCCTTATTTGTCTTTGCACTTACTCAGCAAGTCCTTAATGTGAATTATGGAAGATATTTTGTTCATACAATTGCAGGATTGTTTTTCAGTTAACTTTTTTTAGATAAAGGCAGTTATTGTTGATAAATGGAAAAAAAAAATTGTGAATATACAAATATTTTTATAACTCAAAGGAAAAACTATTATAGGTGATGCTGATTGCTGTTTTATGTATATATTGAAGTAGTTAAATTTTTTAAAAATAAAATAATAGGCAACTTTTTTCAGGGTGGTAGACATTTCAGTTTTATGTGGCAAGGGCTGTATTATATTGGTAGTTCATTTCTAAGAGGTAACACCAATTATATGTTTGAGATTACTTGAAGTGGAAAGTGTGTAGAAAATAAGAGGTTCAGATGTTTTCAGAGATTTATAATCATATTTTTATTTTTCCAGTACTTCAGTTTTCTTAACCATGCCACAGTAATGGGCTATAACTCATTTTAAACAGAGAATATGTTATGGAAGCGTCACGAAACAGAGCCAGAAGTATCGATAATATTTGAAAATTAGTTTTATCTTAACATTTACTTCATTTAAATTGTAAATTTGGTAATTTCATGTGCTGAATATTTTCTGAATTTTTAGTGTATGGGCATGGTTTGGATCAAAATCAAGAAACTTTATGTGAGCAAGCAATTGTGATAATTGTTCCTTGACAGATTTCTCAAGGTCTGGCTTTTTATTCAGTAATTTTTTTTATGGATCTTTGATTTTATTAAATGCTTCTCTATCTCACTTATATCTAGTAAAATAAATGTTAAACACAAGCACACAGTTCATAGTTTGCCAGTGGATTCTGTAAGGATTTAGTTCATGTCTGGAAGAGGAAATTATATATTACATTGCAGTTGGCTCTTAGGAACATCTGTAAGCTGCTCTTGTCTTGACTATACGAAGAGAACTAATGTTCTGCACTTACATTATTATTTCAACATGTTCAGCTGGAAATAATTATTGTGCCATATAGTTTGTCAGCCCAGTGGTATGAGTTAGTAGTGTACAATTTATAATTTTGAGATGGGTAAATACTTTGTGCAGCCAGTAATATTGTGTTGCTTCAAAGTATAGTACCAGATAACAAAAGAAGTGTCTCTTTCTTTACCTGGTCCTGTTGTGTGGAAAATTCCTGTTTTTGTATTCCCCCTGGTTTTTTCCACTCAGCTACAGGCAGAGATAATGTATGTTGAGAAAGGAGAAAGCTTGAAGTAACCAGTGAGATGAAATAGTTATAATATGTTGAAAATATACCATGCATATACACTCCCAACCACGAGAATGCAGAGCGTTGATGCTGTTGCCCTTAAGCAGTTAATGGCCAAAGAATCAATAAAATGAAAATGCATTGTCATTCATTCAGAATTTTAAATGTTCTTTTAATGTCTGTCAGATAAAGTGTATTGTTTTGTGATTATTTTTCTCTGTTAACATATTATCAAAGCCCACATATTTTACATTGTTCTGCTGTCTTTTGAATAAAACAGATTCCTATCACACTGTTTTGTTTGATGTACTATTAACCTTTAAATGCTGTAGGACAAAGGACATATTTTAATCTTAAATCTTCCTTATTGCTATCATTTGTTGAGAATAATTGTATTAACGAATCCAGATGCTTTCAAAAATTAATGTTAGCAAATTAAACTTTGAAACTTGTTTTCTTCTTCTTCTTCTTCTTCTTCTTCTTCTTCTTCTTAATGTTCCTCTACGCAGCTATGCAGGTGCTTGTGGGGAGTGGAGGTATAGCTCCTACTCTTTCTTGACCTCGGCACTAGATGGGGGCGAGTGGTCAGCATCACGCATATTTTGAAAATACAGAATGCCCCCAAATGATGTATACACACATTCAATGTTGAAATAAAAACATTTTAATAAACTAGACCATTCTTTAATCAGAAATGCACTGTGTGAATCAGCAAATCTATTGCAGATGTTCAAAATGACCACCCTTGTTGACAATAGTGAGCAACTGATTGACAAGGTTAATATTCCATGTTATAATGTGTATACATCTTTTTGGGACACCTGTATATTGCCTAAAGCCTATACTTTGGACCACACAAATGACAAAGTTAATTGAAATTTGTGGAGTAGTTTGGAGATAAAACAGTGAATATAATCTCCACATTCCCCATTTATCAGGGTAAAATTTCTGCACTTTATGACATATGTTCAAGTATTAATACATTGAAGCCAGAAAGAGAGAGAGTAGAAGAATGGGTGGAAAATATGGGGTGAAAAGAGCATTTTATTGCTAGGTTTGCAGGCAATGCCTGCTATAAGGACAGAATGGGAGATATGTAGGATGGTAAGTAACGCTCATCTAAAGAATAGTTAAGCATTCAGTCGTATCTCAAAGAAAACAACTCATCTCCATTACAAAGATATATTGTTTAATGTTGTTAAAGGAAATTACAGCTATTAAATCTGAAAACCACAAGAAGCCCATTAAGGCAAAAAACAGTGTCATGACAGGCCTCATATGAGCAAGTGGGTTAGGAGTGCAAATGTGAGACTTGAGCATGCGCTTTGGAATGCGGACAGATCACACATTAGATTAATTGATGTGTCATCTGTGAATAGGTATGACCACACCAGACATGGATTGCACCTAAATTCAAGGGGTAAGGAGAAGCTTGTGCAACTCATTGCCAATGAGATTAGGAGCAAACCAAATACTGGTAAGATTCCTATAATCACTGGTGTAAGACCTAGGCCTTTTTAGGTTAAGGCCCAAATGTATCACTAAATTCCTGAAAGATATCCAAGTCACTGTAAATAAGCCAGTTCTAAATTTAGATCACAATCATCATCATCAGAACATTAAAGGCCTTTCAACCAAAAACTTAGAAACCACCCAGAAAGAAAATCTCCTGGTTTTCCATCAGAACATCAGAGGACTTTTCCCAAAAACTGAAGAATTGATAATTTCTCTTAAAAGTGCCAAATTACCACATATTCTTTGTCTAACTGAACATCATTTGAAAGCACCAGATATCTTACAGGTAAATTTAGACAATTACACACTAGCGAGTAGTTTTTGCAGGAAAAATTTAGCTAGAGGAGGAGTGAGTATATTTGTTAAAAATAATCTAAAATTTAGCCAGAAAGAGCTAGTGCAATTTTACAAGGAGCAGGACATAGAATACTGTGCTGTACAACTTGATATAAATTTTTCTAAATTATGTTTTTTAGCAATATACAGAGCACCAACAGGTGACTTTGAAACATTTATTAACAAGTTAAACAGCATTATGGACTACCTTTACAAACCGAAAACAGAATTTGTCATCTGTGGGGATATAAATATTGACTATCTCTCTGAAAGCTGCCATAAGCAATGTCTAAGTTCTCTTTTAGCAACGTTTAATCTTACACCTACAGTTAGCTTTCCCACAAGAATTCAAAATAGCTCCAACTCTGCCATTGATAATATTTTTGTAGATAGTTACAGGTTAGAACACATTTTCATTAAACCGATAATAAATGGGCTATCTGATCATGATGCTCAGCTATTAGTTATAAAAAACATAAACCTTATTTCTAACTTTCACAATGATAAGAAGGTAACTAGAGTGATAAATGAAGTCACTTTAAATGAATTTATACAACCTAAGTAGCAGGTCCAGTAATAACCCACTATTGAAGCAACACTATAGAAAATATTGCAAAATTTTATCTCAAGTCATTAAAGAAGCTAAACGCATGCATTACAATAAATTGATAGTAGAGTCTGAAAATAAAGTAAAAACTGTTTGGAAAATTATAAAAAAGGAAACTGGCAAACAATCTACAGACATTGAAAGCCAACCATTAATGATAAATAATAACAGAGTAAATGATCCTAAACTTTTAGCTAACTATTTTAATACCTACTTTTTAACGATTGTAGAAAGAATGAACAGCAGTGATACCATAACTCCAAAAACCGAAGATGCAATAAAGTTCTTGGCTAAGGCAATTCCTAATTCATTTCCAAATATTAATCTTATTCCTACCACACCAAATGAAATTAAAAGCATAATAACTTCTCTCAAGTCAAAATATTCATGTAGTTATGATGGAATTTCATCTAAAGTACTTAAATCTTGCGTAGATTATATAAGTAATCCATTAAGTTATCTCTGTAATCATTCAATGGCTGTAGGAATGTTTCCTCAAAGACTTAAATATTCAAAAGTAAAACCACTATATAAAAAGGGTGAATAATCCTGCATCTCTAACTACAGACCTGTTTCACTGCTGACATTTTCTAAAAATTTTGAGAAAGTTATATGCAAGAGAGTAAATAATTTCTTAAATTGAAACAACATTCTTGTCGAGGAGCAATTTGGATTTATAAAAAATCTCTCAACAGAAAAGGCTCTATTTAGTTTCACTAATGAAATTGTATGTGCCCTTAACAATAAAATGCATGTGGGTGGAATATCTTGTGGCCTAGCCATGGCATTTGATTGTGTAAACCATGAAATATTACTAATGAAACTGAAATTTTATGGAATTCGAGGTATAGCAGGACAATGGTTTAAATCCTACCTAAATAATAGAAGGTAGAAAGTAGAAATTAAAAGCCCCCATACCAATCATAATACCTATTCAGAATGGGGTATCGTAAATCATGGAGTGCCACAAGGTTCAGTTCTTGGACCCTTACTTTTCCTTATATATATATTATTCCCAAATTAAGCTCTGCATGCTTTTCCATGAGAACAGTCATACCACTCATGACAATAGATACTTTAAAGCTAGTTTACTTTGCTTACTTTCACTCTGTAGTGTCATATGGATTAATCTTTTGGGGAAATTCAACAGACAGTAATAAAGTTTTTTACATGCAAAAGAAAATAATTAGAATAATGGCCGGTGTCAAAAGCAGGGTATCTTGTAGAAAATTATTTCGTAAATTTAATATACTTCCACTTGCAAGTGAATTTATACTCTGCTTGCTATCATTTGTGGTGGAAAACATGGATAAATTTAAAAGAAATACAGATGTACATAATTTAAATACAAGACGTAAACATGATCTATATGTGCCAAATGCTAACTTTACTAAATATCAGAAAGGAGTGTACTATACAGGTATCAAGTTGTTTAATAATCTTCCACCAACAATTAAAAGTCTAAATTATGATATAAAGGTATTCAAGCCTGCATTGAAAGATTACCTCTTTACTCACTCCTTCTATTCTGTAGATGATTTCTTCTCTGCTGAAAATGTTTAAGCTTTATATCCATAATCTACGTATATGTAAAGCAAGTTTTGTATTTATATTTAAAATTCTGAGGTTTATGTATATTAATTTGTAAAATTATTTTTCATACTTGTATTGCAGAATCTGAAATTTATGTACATTGATATGTGAAATACGTTCTTGTACTTGTGTTGAAAGTTCTGAAGTGTATGTACATTGTATGAAATGACATGTTCTACATCCTTTGGTTGATTCCTAAGAAGGATCTATGGAATGTAAATAAACTCTACTCTCTATTGATTCTTAAAGCAGATAATAAGTAGTTATGTCATAGGGCTTTAAATGGTGACGAAAAAGCCAAGATAAGGCAGACTTCGAGAAAACAATCTGGAAAGTATTCTAACCCGCAAGCACGAAGGATACAGGCATGGAGAAAATGACGATCTTTGGTGCCTAAAGATTAATACCAACTCCAACATCAGATTTGTTGTCCACGGTATCAACAACAGATTCTGTATGATCGTGTGCCTGGTCGAGTTGCCGTAAAAATCTCGTATATACCCCACCCCCCTCCCTCCCATAAAATTTACAACATTTAAGTCGTTTGATATAAAAATGTACAGACAAATAAAAGCGACTGACGGAACGTTATTTTCTGGCATTGGTTCAGAAATGTAGTACAGGAATGACATGTTGTTTTCCAGCACGATTCATAAGTTCGGGCGTCCGCTGTTTTTTTCTATAAAGGTGTAATTGTCTTGTTTTCAAACTAACGAAGAAATTATTGAGCGCTAACGTAGGACTATAAAATGATTTGTTTGCGATTTAATTTATTATCCTTTGGTAAGTCTAGTAATTAACATAACCTCACATAGCGTACATTAGAAAAGTTTTGAAATACGTATAGCTTTTTATTCATCATTAAAAATTCGTGGTGGATTCCGTCCTTTATCTAGTGAGCATTCGTTCACCTTGAATCGTTAAGTAGGGAATTTAAAACCCGTTTAGGCAACGTGAAATCCTGAGAGTTTTGTTCTATAGTTATTCAAGTTACATTTGCCATGTGACATCCTAATATAATGTTACTTTCAGAAACCAAACTTGTGTATAATCATTAAAGTTTTATTATCCCTAATAGTAACTTGTGTGATACATCACTTCAAAGTCCACAAGTCATATTACTACCTAGTTCTTACTCTTACTGTATACTCATACAAATCTTTTTGTACTTATCAGTGGTCTCTATTTTATTACTCTGCATTCCATACTATACAGAATATCCAAGTAAAATTAAGGGAAGTTTATGTATATATGACATCACTTCTGTTAACCAGCCACAAAATTCCACATATTTTGATTAAATAGTCTTTTTCAGACTCAGTTTATAATTGATGTGCCTTGCAGCCAAAGAACATGAAAATAAATCAATTATGTCTCAGTAGAAAGCTTTAAAAATCCAAGTCATTGATATACCTTAACATTTAATGTAGTGAACATATGTGATATGTACTATTGAGTTATGTAGGCGGACTATAAATATTAAGCATCTTTATTTATAAGTATGTTGACTTGCAGTTTGCTTCAAGTTGCACAAGAAATTTTTTCACTATTGGCTGCTGAGGCTCTGAAGATAAAAATAATGAGTTGTGAAATGTTCAGTTAGAATAGAATAGAATTTGTTTACATTTCATAAACCCCTGCTAATAGTATCCATACAGATTTTTTTTATTCTGAAAAAAGTATGTAGTAAGAATAATACATAGTTTTATTTGAATAAACATTTTCTTGGATATTATCCATCGTCTAGTAAATATAAAACGTAAAACGACGTTTCGGAGATGGGACTCTATCTCCGTCTTCAGGTTCCTACACGTCGTTTTCACCATCGTCAAGAAGTATTAGATTTGATAGTTTTATTTCATTCTTCTTTAGTTCCATACTTATGATGTGTAAACGTTCTAATATTTAATCTCAGTATTTAGTTTTCAAAGATTTGTGGTATTTATTGACTTAAAATTGACTGCTAGATACATCATAGCTTCTGTTATGTTTGAGTACCAGAGTTACTGACTTCTTATAGGAAAACAATGCTTGCAAGCACCAAGTATAATATACCCAAGATTTCTGTCAGTAGCCACACCCAAGGTGGTCTCTCAAGGTGTCAAGAAACCCAAAACTGGTATAATTATGCTGAATATGGGTGGTCCAACAAGTAAAGATGAAGTTCATAATTATTTACTGCGCATTATGACAGACACAGACATGATACAATTACCAGTTCAAAGGTCAGTATGGTTAAAGGGTGTAGAATGATGATGGCATTGCCTTATTGTATCATACCTTATGTCACATTACAATTTAGAGTTTCTGTAGTTCTGGTATAATCATTTTTATAGCCAAGATTAAAGTAGTGGCCTTTCATGGTTTTTTTTCTTTTCATAAAGTGGTTAAAGTAAATATAATGTGATATTACATCTGTCTTGTCTGTCCACTTCGCTTCCAAAACCTCTTAAAAGATTTAAAGAAATTTTAGGATATCATGTTTGTCTGAAGAGTTGTTGGAAGAATTTCATTTCTGCCTCCATTATCTGTTTGACACGAAGCTGAAATAAAAGCATTAAATTTTTCACTTATAGCTCATAGTATAAAATTCTTCCTAGTCCTATCCCTTTTCCTAGCACCATCCAGTGAAAGCATGTAGAGAGAGTGGTGTTAGTACTCCATACATTTATAAGCTTAGCACCACATAGCATCGCAGTCCAGAAGCTCATAATAAAAAGGGAGTGATATTTTTAAACAAATCTTTTTTTGTGTCAGAGTCAAACTTGCACCATTACATGCCATGAGATTTTGTGTTTTATAGTACTGCCACATAATTAGATATTGAGAAGTAATGGATGATGTCAGTTCACACATTGCGTATGCACACATCATAGGCTGGTAATGTGCTCATAGTTTTAATTTGTACCATGATCACAGAACAGCATGTTCATATGATTAGCACTCCTGCTTCATGTTTAGGAGGTTACAGGTTTTAGTCTTGACCCAGGGACTAGCTTTTTTGACTGAGGTTTTTCATGATTTTTTTCAGTGTCTGCAGGAAAATGCAATGCTAGTACATAAAATTAGGCAATTACCACTTCCTTTCACATCTTTTCCAGTTTATTCATTTATTATCCTCTCATCCAACACTGTGTAGTTTCAGCTGCTGGTAGTATTGTTAAATAAACTACAAATAAATAAGTAAATCTGTCCCATAATGAGTGATGGATTGTAGGACATGGGCATAGTGTCTCTTGTGAGTGAATGCTTTAGATTGTATATACTAGTTCATGTTGAATGCGCTAATAATTTTAGTGGTACTTAGAAGGTGAAAAATGTGCAATGATATATTTTGAAATTAAAAAAAAATAGGGCTCAGCCGGGATTTGAACCCGGGACCTCCTGCACCCAAAGCAGGAATCATACCCCTAGACCACTGAGCCTGATATAGTCTTGTTATATAAATTTAAGGAAGCTATGATATTGGTTTTGTATTTGTACATGATTTATATCTGCAGAGGATTGCATTTACTGTGCAAAACTGAATGTGATTGTAATTGTAGTTTTGTTGTAAACATCATTAAAATTGGTGCTGACAAAGCTGTTGCAGATTGTGACATTCACCAAAATCTAATTGCCCTCCTGTCTGCACAATAAGTAAAAAATGGATACTGAACAGGCTCACTAATTCATAAAAACTCTTGCTTTATTCCAGTAAGATTCAAGTAAATGTATAAAGAAGATATATTTAAGTCAAGATCAATTTATTGTTTTACTCTTTTAGCCATATGTATTTCAAAAAAAGGTATACTTGCACAGTGGTTAAATTCATTGTTTAGTTCTCATCAAAAATGGAATATTTAATGCCTGTTTGTTCAAAACAGCAAGAAGTGCAGAGTATTAAAAATTCATTGCTTGGTTTTCATCAGTTATGGAATATGTAATGCATATGCATTCAGAATAGCAATGTATGCATATTTTCTTAAAATTGGATTTACCTCATTACAAAGTTATTCTCCCTCTGTTATTTACATCCTGGTCATTATTTTACTGGCACTTATGACATATCATTTGTTACATTTTTGATTTCTGCACATTTTATTAGGCTATATAGTATTGTTTCTGTAACAGTTTTACTGTAATACTTGGGTTGAAAACTTCAGTGTTTCCTATC